AAGCAGGGCGCGAAGGCCAGCCCACGTGTACAGGAGCCAGACAAATCCTAAAGTGACCGCCAAACGTCATGTGGTCAAATAAACAAAGTATTACATATAGCTAGTACGATTTTTTGCGTTAGGGTTAGGCATTGCACCCACTGCTTTTTACTAGCAATGGGCGTCTCATCTTTACAAATTTAAGGCAGCTATAGTACATTGTCTATGTGACCTCTTGGTGTTTGGCGGTTACTTTTGGCATTCGTTCTGCCATTTTACGCGTGGGCTGGCCTCTGGGTTATGCCAAGACCCAATCCCCTGGAACACATATGTTTAGCCCAACACAATGCCTTTTCTACTTAATGGGAAGTCTCAGGGCTCTATAGCAGCATTTGCATTTTAAATGTATTGTGGCACATTGCAGTCCCGTGAGAGTCGCACTAGGTATTAGAACGTACAAGACTTCGTTTATTTCATATGTTCCTACAGGAAGGAGATGTGGTTTTGGCATGGCCCAAATGCTATCCCACTCGATGAAGGCAAAACAGCTACCAACGTGGCCACCAATCATACAGGCAGAACAAATTATTGCCCACATTACAACGCGATGTTCATTTAACTACCTGTAGAATTGGCAGTAAATTCGGCATTCATCCTGTTCTTGACTGCATGGGACGGCCTTTGGGCCAAGTCAAGACCCAACCCCCCTCACTTCTCTCTGAAGACAAGTATTTTTAGCCCCATTCAAAGTCTTTTTGCACCAATTGAGAAGTCTCGAAAGGTTACACACATTGTTTGAACTTTTATTTCTGCTATGAAGTGGTCAAAAAGTGTTGAATTACCTGCAGCCAAAGAACTACCAGAATATCTCGGTTCACGATACTGAGTTATACTACTTCAACTGTAGCGTCCCAAGGCTTTCCTTTAGACATTAGAAGGCGCACAACTTGGCTGGAAGGAAATAGGTGGGACTTTGGCACCACGTACGCCATAGCATAGCCACACATACAGACGGCCGGACAAACAAAGCACAACATCAACAACTAGTAGCTATGTCCTCTTAGAATCTTTAAATGAGCAATGAGCAATGTTTCAGCTATGAGGGGCATTATTATTCTATAATAACATGACCGTAATACGCACCTACAATTTAACTTGTTTTGAGGAATATCAAAGAGGGCAATGCTCACCATACACTTTGACTGTGGAATGCAACCGCCATTAATGAAAGACGGATATCGAAATTGAAGTGTTCCGTTACATTTTAGACACCCAGAGCCAAACAGACTCATGTACAATGGTAACCCTACAGATGGTCGTATCAGTCAGCTTCAACACCCGTCTACATCTTGCACACCTGGCATCGGAAGAAAAGCGAGACAACCATTAACATTGGTTGTAATATTCGGATAGAATGTACACAAAAAAACAGTTGTATTGGCGCCATGTCCACGCATGCGTGTGCGCACGCGTGAAGTGGAAAGGGTGGTGGAGAAGAAATGTAATCACTCAAAGCGAAGCGCGATCGAACAAAAAATTATCAACAAGACGATATATCCCCGTCATCCAGGGAGCAGCCATCGCCAACAGTATCTCCATCTTCGACATCGTGTTGCTGCCGTAACTGCGACTGCTCTACTGACTGCTCTTTCATAAAGTGGGAAGAAGGACTGTAAAAATGCGAAGAGGAAGCGGTGCAAATGGGGACAGTGGGTTGTGGAGAGTCCTCCGATAGGCTGTTACTGTCTCCTGAGCCACCAGCACCGTGAGGAGGTCCAAGGACGGTTTTAATTAGAGTAGGAAGATCAGCAAAGTCAGCAGCGGGTGCAGCTCCAGTAACAGCCGAGTTCGATGTCGACTTTTCAAAGTCTTGGCACGGTGGTGGCTGCTGAGTGAAGGTATCGCCCACGTAGAAGTAGCTAGCCTGACGAAAATCTGCGTCAGCGAAGCGAGGTGCGAGAAGGAAGAGAAGATGCAAAAAAGTGGGTCGCTGAGCTGGTCGGTAGGACCAGCAATAGAGCATCACCGATTGTCTACAATCAGACAACGAAGAGGAATACTCCAAAAACTCCATCGTTCCGTGTAGACCTATTGCAAATGGCTTACAGGAGGGGAGGGCAATTAATTGGAGCTCCGCCAGAGACAAGTGTGTTACCGTCGAGAACATAAGAGATCACCTCATTGTGGGACATGCCTTGGTACGGCAAACACGCCATTGTTGCGATTTCCCACAAAACTACACCAAACGACCTGAAACAATTGCAGAAGCACTGCGGTTCACAAAAAAGGGTAAATCAAATTACTTTCTAGTTCTGCATTTCGAAGGGGAGTCAAAAGACAATTGAGACATCATCGTAGAGGTTTTAACGGTTAATAGAGCATCTGGCTATAACTGAGCACAGTGCCATTAACTCCTATAGAAGCCAAAACTTTGAGATGCTACCCAAAACAAAACGCGTGTAAAGGTGTTGTTTGGTCAGCAAAAAAAGAACATTTTTTTAATCGAAAGCACAACAAACCAAATGAGAGAAATCAAGGTTAGTTTGAGTTTGTAATGACATTATACACGAACAAACTAATAAACAAAAATCGAAGGTATCATCAAACTTGAGAAGTAATTGTTGTGAGTTGATGTATGCCTTTCACGGTATCAGTCAGGAGGTGAGAAGTGTTCCGATTGGAGAGATAAATTACGTTTAAAAAGTGAAATCCGCCTTGCAGAAGAGATAACTGAATGAAAGTGTAAGACTGGCAAATTGGTACAAACCCAAAGTATACTCGGGTAATTGCACAGGGCAGAAAAACGGATCGGAAACCCATAGCAGGGAATAACAGCTCTGAAAAATGCATTCAAGAGCATAGTACTTATTATTCTTTGGATAAACTTAAGCAAGATGAATTGTAAGGAATGGTAAAAAGGATTGAAAACCCAAGATCAAGCCTGCTTTCAAAAAGCATAGTTTGACAAGGCACCCATTTGATCACTACCTGACAAAGTGGGCTGTTTTACTGTTACGAATTCTGTGCAATGGTCGGCATAGGACTTCAACAAATGAGGTAATAATCAAAGATCGCACAGATACAATACGCTGCTCCATCATTCCAAGTTAAAAATTAACGTTCGTTTGGATATGCAACAAAATTTTTTGGTGCTTGAATTAGGGTTCACATAAGGTAATAAAACAAATTATTAATTTCAAAATAGGAAGCCAAACCAAAACAACACGGCTCTTTAAGATCCTTGCACGTTTTAGGTTTGGTATCAAGTTGAAAGTCTTAACTCCAGCCAATTGATGTGATCGTAAAAAATGGAAAGCGAAAGCTGGCCAGCAGCTAGACAAAAGTGGGGTAATTTTCAACGGAAAGGCAGTCACACCCACCACACATCGGAGCGAGAAGTGAAATAGGCGGACTGCAATGACTCCGGTGCCATCCACCGCACGGGCAGCTTACCAGCGCCCACCTTGTGATAGTAATTCCTCTCGTAAATATCTCGACATAGGCCGAAATCGCCCACCTTCACCACGCCTCTCCCGTCTACCAGGCAATTTCGAGCAGCCAAGTCGCTGAAAAACAAGTGGATTGATGCTGCTGCCACCAGACAAACACAGTACTGACTTATGGCGGAAAAATAACAGGAAAGAGTCGAAACATTTTTGCATTGATAAAAGTTTTGACGAAGAAATTGTCAGTAAGGGAACAATGATTACCATTCTAATACTATTCCACTATCAAAAACAAGTTAGACAGAGTAGAAAGCTGGGCAAAGTAGTTATTGGAGAAACCGAATGAGATGCGTAGACAAGATAGTTTTGTGAGCAGCACAGCGCGAGTGCTAAAGTGAGCCGAAACAGTGCACAAAACATTACGTAGAACTACAATTTCTCGATAATAACCACAGCATTGATGGAAAGTTAAGAAAAGAATTAGAAGAAACCTTCAAGTGGAAGCAATAAGTCAATTATGTAGTCGGTTAGGAGACTTTACAGGACTCAGTTTATTAACTTAAACGATAGATACCCATTACAACCAAAACAATAAAGAATATCGATAGTCGAATGAGGTTAGCCAGAGACTAATCGCCTCGTAAGAGGCAAGAAAACACTTGCTGGGAAATTAAGTGGTGAGCATTAAGCTAATCCGACTAGGTATTCACCAAGAATACAAAGAATGATAAAAAAATTCATTTGCACCGAAATCTAGCCTATCATCAAGGCATCCTAATGTCAAAACGTTTTTTTTTAATTGAAGCGCATACCGATGAACATATTTCTTCCTTTCCAAGTAAGCCATTCCATCTGCAATTTGAACAGCCCATAGGTAAGCCTGTGCTGGCTTTACAAAACCAATACCACTGTCACCAAGCTTGCGCAAATACGAGGCCAAATCCCCATTCTCCATCAACTCCATCACCACGAAAAGGCCGTACTGGGAGAAGGGTCGAATGGAGTCGGAGCTGGAGCAGTGCTGTACAGTCGCAACACCAGTCTCATCTAGAGCAGCAGAAAAGAGGGATTTGGTATTAAAATGAAACAAACTACTTTTGCATACCCTGTGCCGTTGAGGTAGCCTTGCGGTTCCTTTGGTTCTTCAGCAGCAGACGAGAAAACGAGCCTCTACCAAATCGTCCACCCCTCGTCCAGGCCCGCTTCGTTGGAGAGGTATCTGTTGTTCCGTTAGAACCGTCAGGTGCCTCTGTGGAAAAATTGAAACGTTCAAACAACGACTAAGGCACAAGCAAACTAAAAACAGTTTACCAGGATTACCGAAACCTTTTAATGATACTAGTGACTCAAGAGCCCATTAAAAATGATGTCGTAAGATATGGACTTAGAAAAATCAAGGTTAATACAATTTCATGGTAAATTTTAGAGGAGAACATTGAAGTGTATAGAGTGTATTTTACTACTTCACATTCATATTCTTACAGCGATTGCCTTCATAGAAGTAAATAATTCATTTAAATCCCTCCTTAAAAATATTCACCAATCAGAACCTAGTAAGAGATCAGCACAAGACTTACAATTCCAATTAAAAATAACTAAAAGACCTGTGATGCGTCGAAACCCCTTTTCATAACACACAAGCGATGTGCTCATGACCAAATAAGTAAGCCATCGTCAACATACTCTAGTGCCATAAGTGGGTAATAATTCCTCCAGGTCTGCTTGAGTAGAGGAGGAAACCAAAGGAGTTATTAATGTAATTTATAAAAGCGGAGCAAAATATGCGCATAAGAAAGGAAAGTAATCACAATGAAAACGTGCTGCGTTAGGATGGAAAATGAGCTAGCCGACGTTGATTCACTTTGCGTTTGAAAACCAATGACGGTTAAGCTTAAAAATAGGCTGTGAATGCCCATTGTCAAAGGCTTCCTTTTTCAAAACAAGAGATAGATTCTGCAAAGCAGTAGAATGGGAAGTAACAATAAAAATACAACAGAACATTTCCAGAAGTATCATATTTCAACAAAAAAGATGTAATAGACAAGTCCTGAAGTAGACCTCAACAATGCGGGAGCAAATTGAGTTGATCTATCACAGTTACCCATTAAGTTAATACCTGTCATTTTTGTTAGACACAAAAAAAACAAAATTCGACTAACATCAAACTGACGCAGGCACATCTAATTCGCCATTAGATTATTGTTTCCGGTGGATCATGACCCAACCACAGACCATAGAGGCAATAAGAAGTCTTACTTGCGGTGTTAAACACTTCGTTAGCAGGTGTTCCAGCAGTGTTATGTGTGAGGGAACTTCCGTTACCCGTGTTACCAGTCATAGCTTCTTCAGAGGATAAGGTGATAAGCTTCTTCTTGATAGGCACGGGTACAGCCTGGCGCTTGGGTCGATGTCGTCGCCAGAAGCCACCACCATCAAGGAGACGAAGGAGGTTGAAGCGAAACTTCGTTTTGGCTACGCTAAAACCACCACCACCATCGTCACCACCGCCGACAACGCCACCACCACTACCACTACCACTTCCACCTCCACCACCGCGAAAGGTTCTGGCAGCAGCAGAGACTGCAGAGGATGGGGTGCACTTACTAACAATTCCAAAGAGCCTCACAATATGGAAACTCTGGAATTGTTTCATGTAGCAGGCCTCCGTAATGAAATCGCGACGGTCAAATACAGTGCAAGTAGAAGAAAGTGTCTAAAAATAGCATAACATTAGTTGGAAAACAGGATTATCATGAAGTCAGCCCAAGTATCGATGTAGCCTTCTTGACGAAAACATGCAAATAATACCAACAAAATCAACGTCGCAAAAGACCGAATACAGTAAAGAGGCTAATACGAAGAGAACACGGAAGTTCACGAAAAATTCGTGGCAATGAAAATGAAAAAAGTAAACTATTACACAGGTCTGGTATTGCTCCTAAAAGGGAAAGGAATGGTAAGAAGACAAGTGCCAAACAGCTAATACATTGTCACTGATATTTTGAGATGGAACTTCAGTTTGAAAGTGAAATAAAGCAATGACAAGGGTAGTAAAATAACGATTGAATTTTAATCTCACAATAAGCTAATTTGCATTAGTCACAAAGTAGGAAAAACGTTTGTATGACATCGTAACTACTTGACGCCATTATTGAAGAAAGCATTTCATGAGTATTTTGGACATTGATTTGGGCTTCAGCAATTCATTATTTTGAAGTTCACATTAGTATTTTTGATGTGAAGAGAAGACAAATTTAAATACCTTGATGGCGGCAGGAATGTTGTGAGGCTCAGTATAAAAGCAATGGGCCGGAGTGCGAAGAGTCTTCACGGATCCTCGATACACCATGCCAAAGTTCCCGCGCCCAAGGGGATGGCGAAAGTTCAAAGTATCGATATCCTCCAATTGCATCTCCCAATCGTCCACCTCGTATACATGCCAATACTCCGGGTTGGGCGAATTCCACTCACTGTCCATCAAACGCCTTCAATGAAAGTAGGACGTTACTTAAACATTGCACGCTCAACCATCCCCGAGTCATGACCCCCTCAAGAGCTAATGGGGAATAGAACTAATAAAATTTAGATGAGAATAAATCGAGATGCTGCATAAGCCGCTTGCAAACTTACGACCAAGTGAATCAGGAGACAGTATCAAAAAAAAATTGAGAGAAAATGAAATGAAGCCGCCAAAACAAGTGAATAGTATAGTGGCTCAACGACCAAACCACACTGTCGCGTAAACATAAGGCCCAAAGAGGACACAACTGACTCGTCATCGAGAACGTGAACAGATGACAAATTACCAAAGTAGGATAGAGAGAACATGTGAACGCTCAAAATGTCCAAAACATTAATAGTCTAGAAGAATGCAGTTGACATAAAGCATTCAAAGTGAGCCTTTTGTGCCAGAATCGATGTAGAAATCATTTTCGTCCCGCTTTTCAAGTAGATTTTACACCTGTTAGAATGATCGAGGATGAACATTTAATGTGCCGTAATGGTCCACCTTGTAATCAGCATAACGAGCATTCAGCTTAATTTGTTGCGAGCCACATAGGCACCCTCAACCCAATGGCATCGAATTGAACGATATGATAGCATATGTTAAGAGCAAGCTCACTTCTTCCGAATACGATGAATTATGCAGGCGACGATCAGAGCCAAGACCACGGACACCACTGAGACACATATTGCAGTCACCGTTATTATCGTATCTAGAAGAAAAAAACCGTTCATATAACTACAGTGACGAAAGCATGGAAAAAGAAATTTCAAGAGGATATACCAATAGGAGAGGTGGTGACTTCAAACAGTAATGGTGGTGTCCATGAGCTATTGCCCGCCAGTGAAACCGCCATGATCTGCAGCTCGTAGAAGCCGGGCAGAAGATTGAGAAGTTCGGCTCCGCCAAGGCTCAAATTTGGCTGTTGTGAGGGTGAGGTCATTGTTGAGAGGTTTCCGCCGGGGAAGATACGAGAGTCGTCAGAAGTTGTGATGGGAGAACGCACATGGCGTTTAGTTCTGCTTCCGCTTGACATTCCTCCTCTTCCACCCAGCAACCCTCCAGTTTCCCCAACACCTGCTCCGTTTCCCGGAGAGCCTGCCGATTGCCAGCTGGCTCGTGTGACACACAGCGTCGACCAGACTGTCGAGCCTGATGACGACTCTATTTCCGGAGCAAGCTTTTCAGACTGAAAAAAAGTAACGCTACCACAGATAGTTTAGACCCAAAACCGCCACATTGAATCATTCACCTCTGACTTATTTTGCTGTGTAATAGAAACTTTGGTGGTGCTAGTTTTCGGCATGGGAGTTTGTTCTGCTCGTCTGTAGCGGAGCACGTAGTAGAGAATGACACCATTAGGGTTTGTCGGCTCTGCCCATGACACATGGACCGTTCCAGCAGCATCCTGCTCCGATCTGATGCTTTCGAAGTTTACATTGTCCGCTCCAGCTAGAGAAATGAACGCATGAATGTCGTTCAGAAACACTATGATAAACATCTAGTTAATAACTTTACAACGTTTTTTGGAAATCCTTACACAATCATTTCTCTACCATCACTAAAATTGCTATTTCAATGGAGGATCTGATTAGAAACATGGATAACACGTCTAGGAGTTGTACATAAAAACAAATAGGGGTTAGCGACATACCAGCAGGAAGCGTTCTTTCAGTCTTGAAGACTTTGTGACTGCAATACCGCAATAAATAGTTTTTCCACTTATCCGTCAGCTCTATCTCCACACCCGATTCGGGTTTAAGCAAATCAGCCCAAGGATAATCGGAATTGTCGCTTGGTCTCTACAGGTGAATGTGGGAAAGAATTAGGCCTCAGTGAAATAAATGCATTCGAAGCCACTAAGAGTTACCAATAGAGACAAACCTGGCAGGCTTGTAATTCAACAACGTATTGCGAGAAGCTCCGAAGATGAGAAAGAGTGCTGGTCAAAGACTTTTTCCCCGTTTGAGCGACAACGTTAATGCCGTCACTGCGGATTTGACCCTCCTCATCCACGTTCAGCACAAACAACCCCACTTCACCATCTTGTAAGACTCGCGAAAGACGATTGCCTAGATAATGCGGAATCAGGGAACGATATGAAAATTACACTTAGAATTAAACGAGCGAAGGCAAGTAGAATTTACCGAAGACTATTGGGAGAGGGTTATCGTACGCGTCAACCATCCATAGACTTTCGTGGAAGGCGGAAAAACTGCAGCGTGGGTCTGAGCAGAGATTGGGGTAAAACTTACTGCGAAAAGACGTGGAGTGAAACAGTGTTTTCCGGATAAACTCATGAAAATACACTAACATACGCATGTGACCAGTAGATTCCTGTTAAACGAGACGTCCCAACATGGTAGGATGGCGTGATCGCGGTAGAAAGCCAATCAGGTGCTGAAACAAGATGGGTTGCGAAAACTTGAAATCCGTTAACAACTAAGTGAATAAAAGGGTGGGTGCAGAAGTTTACTCGAAAAGCAGAAGTCGCGGTGAAGATAGGGTCCAGGGTCGATGTGAATAGCACGGAACCAGAGAAGATACACCGCCAAGGGACCATTGTTGTACTGAGGCGGTGACCACTTGACAGAAATTCTTGAATTGTTTAACGCCTGCAATCTCTCCAAACGTGGATATGATGGGTCTACAATTATGGATGGCAAAAATGGGAGAGGTCTTAAAAATAGGAAAAATAATAATCGATTCCATGCAAAAAAGCAGCAACCAAGAAAAACCTTACTACTAGGGTTTGTGGTGAAGTAGACAATGTTGCTAATTGCCCCACGCTGACTGAAAAGAGTTTTGGATTCAACATAGACGGCATAGCGAGTAGCTGGTTGGAGGCCAGTGAGTACTTTGTTGCAAAAGGCAACACTTTCGCCCTCCATTTTACGTACTACAGAGGTGTTGCAAATCGAAGGAATCATCTTCCATCTGCATTATTAAGAGACAAAAAAGCGTTGGAGACACCTAAATTACTCTGACACAGCCACTCCGAATTAATAGTAAGTTTATTGCCATTTCAATTACCCCGAACCCGCCACATTACAACTACATACGATTGATTACAATTTCATCAACAGCTCCCACTACAAAACTAGCCATACCCGTGCATTTCTAGAGAGAAACTCAAGCATTACACTACTCTGCTGGGCTGCCCACAAACACTAAGGCACGATAGCGCGCCCAATAATCCCACAAGGGATGGAGCGAAAAAGTATTCGTAGATGCAATTATTCAGTAAATAAACTTACGAATCATCGCCACAGGAGAGCCGATTCGAATAGACGGTCAAATTTTTTGTTCTGCAACAAAGAACCACTGAACAAATCAGCATCAAGTAAATCAATGTCTCGGATTGCACAGATAGGCGAAAAGGCTCTAAATCGCCGGAATTGGGAGGATGTAAACAGTCACACTCACATCAATAGTGCAGAGATAGAGGAAATTCTCAACAGATCAAAGAGTAGTCCCTCAAACATACGTAGCTTGGAAGAATACCAACACCAGAGTGGAAGCGGTTTGACCGGCTGGGCGGTTGTCAAAGAAACGTGGCCATTGGATGACAGCAGTTGAGGAGAAGACATCCTTTAACTCAAGCGAGATTTGTGTAGTTTCGCCTGAACAAACAGTGTAAGGTAATAGTAGATGAGGATAGATGACATCATGGAATCGTAAACTAAAACAAGTAAACTTTTCTTGTTAGAGACCCATAAAATTATTGTTTAAGGCTTTATTAATCCAGAGGCCCGTCGGTTCGATGAAAACGGAAATGAAGGTAGGGAACTAGGTGAAGCAATTTGAAATTTATGGGGCGTAAAGAAGACTTAGATACTTGCGCAGAAACTGAGTCATTAATAGAGGCCTAGCGCAAGCAGATACAACGGATATAGCGAAGACCTCCGGAGGACCGGCTTATTAATGTGAAATATCAGAAATCTACCCATTTGCCATAGGAATTTATCCTAAGGTACCGTTCCAATTTCACTTGGAAAAAACAGAAAGGAAACGAAGATACCGACAATCATTTAAAGCTAAAACTGTTCATCGTCGTTTACGCAAATGAGGAAGTACATAATTTGAACTTTATAACTAGTTGGCTTAAAACTCCACAAGAGATTTGGCCCCACACTACCACGACACTTAAAAAGGATTAGCGTTTAATGCCTTAAGATAAAAATAAAATGGACTTGACGCATTTAATGGAATAATCAAAAGTAAGCATTCAAGATACCAAAACAAAAATGTAGAAATGTAATAAATTATTTCCAATTAAACAAATGTTGCGGTTTATAAAGCTCTACAAAATGTGCACAACAAACCTTAATGCCTTGTTTCATTAAAAAAATAAAGTATTTAAGAACGGAAAGCAGTAATACAACATCAAAGATTTTTTTAGAGAACTACGTGAACGTAAACTAAGGTGACCGTTAGTGATTCAAGAGAAGTTATGTGAAATTGGAAACAAATTTGTAATGCATCTAAACGTGTAAGAATGCGGTTTGATGATTTAATGTGATTGTCTTCCAGCCACTTTTCATTAATGACTGGGACAACTTACAGAAGCCGAGTTTGCCATTGGTAGCCTCAGCGAGTTCAAGCTCCTCAGTACGAAAGTTGCGTCCACCAGGTAGCACCAGAGCGCCCGTCCTCACCAAGTCAGTAATCTTCTTGGGACAGAGATAGCGATTAAGGATGAAATGCACAAGCCCCTCCGACACAATTTGGAGTCCGCCTGTCCCGTTCTCCGCCGGCGGAGGCCACAGTTCGAGCAGATTGTCATTGCCTCTTATCTCCATTACTGTCCTGTGAGATCAGTAAAAATGTAAAAAAAGATAAAGCATCAGTCCATCTAGAAGCGGGCAATTGTAACATGGGGAGTCAAGGAACACTAGGTAGTGCTAAACAATCGCACAGTTAACATAGATTCAGACAGCTAATGCGGCCTAACTATTCCACAAGGATTGACCTATAGCAACAACTCAACGAGCACAATTTTGTAACTTTAGAAGTGAAATGTAGGCGTAAAATCCACTGTTCTTTACCTACCTCATCCACATGGATAGGGATTAGAGCAAGCATTTAACTGTACTTTATTTCGCACTCAGCTTTTTTGGCATCTACATAAGACCATGCCAACACTAGTGAAGACCATTCTCTGTTGCTACAGTATTATAAGAGCTAGAGACGACGCCAACAACCAATAAATTGATAAGGGAGAACAATTTCAGAGGAAACCCGAGTCACCATAAGTGTTTTTGGTAATTACCGGGCTCGCTCATCACAAATGCCAGGGCCTCCAAGAGCCTCCAAGATTTTGTGAATGAAAAGGTAAACTACTCAAATATTTTTCCTAAAAATTAAGCGAAGAGGACGAATTTGAAAGATCAATGACAGCCACAGAAAGTTAACCAGGAGTATAAGTTAGATACTTTTAATTAATGGTAGTGGAGGTAAGCGAAATATCAAACAACTTCATAACATATTTCGAACAATCGAGCAAATTGTAAATTCCAATTAAGGTTCAAGTATGTTACTGTGCCTCGAAGTGGTTAATTCAGCAGATAGCATACAAAATAACAAGTTAACCTGAAGTTCACATAAAGAGTAATTGTGCTGGTTTTAAAAAAAATTTTACAACCAGCTGTCGAAATTCAGTTGTTTGGAAGTGAAACTGCCAGAGATGGCTGTGCTAGTCTTTAAAAAATGAGTTGAAAATGTCCTTGAACTCACACGTTGGGCGAGGAGTCGGGGGTGGTATTGATGCGCTTGACGTGGCGAAGGAAAGCAAGAGAAGTGAGAGCCGTCGCTCGAACAACCTTGATACTTTCAACCTCCCGCAGACTTGAAAAAGCCTCATCGAACTGCTGCTGGATCAGAGCTAGGCAGTGAAATAACTGAAGAGTGAACATAAGTTGTGCAAACACGCCTAATATTAAGCAAAATACTACCTGTGTCGCCCTCATGAATCGAGATGTAGAGGTCAGTAACAGAGTAGCAGTCCTTCAGTTTTGACAGTGACTTTAGACTGTTTATTAGCATATGATGGCATCCTACAGAATAGAAAGGAAAAAATTAACAATGAAGCCACACTTTTGGGGTACGGCATAAGCAGGCCTACGAATTCGCGGGCACGTGTCGCCACACGGCATACATTCCCCACTGCCTTCATCGCGCTGATGACCTGAGGGACAATCAGGAACACACCGACCTTGATGGATAGCGAACTGACGAACAGTGGTGGTGGCTCCGGGTCCAGTAGCGTTGATTGTCACCGAAACGCCGGAGCCGGCAACACTGCTTCCGCTGCTACCAGTAACATGGGGGAAACGGTAGGTACTGCTCATATGGAAACACTCCGCAGCGGTCACGCACCGACGCCCATGGAAGAGGTAAGTGGTCGGAGGGCATTGAGAGACGCAAATTCCACGATGTAGAGCCCCCTTGCAGGCTACACATGCCCCTGGACCAGGGCCGTAACAGCCAGCAAGGCACTCGTCATGGCAACAGAGATGCGTGTTGTCCATTCGGCATGCGAGCCCACGGTTCGTGCAGTTTGAAGAGCAGACTGTAAGAGTGGGTGAAGGACGCACACTAGATAAGACTGACGCAATAATTTGCGTAGCTAATATACAATCACATGATGGTATGTGAATGATACTGTTGTCCAATCCTTAAATTAGTCACATAAAACATTCGTTATAGACCGACAAAAAAAGCGGCTTCTCGTACCGGTCTAAAGCCAATGACAGGTTGACAACAACCGATATAAAATGCAAACAAGGGATGAGCATAAGAGCGAAGTCGATATACTTTAAAACAGTTACAGAAGAATTAAAACAAGTAAATTTAAGAGCTGTTGCGAAATAAGGATGACCAGTTAGTAAAAAGCTGCGGGGCGCTGAGGCAAATATCGGCAATTATTAATGCGATCTTAGCCATCATACGGCATTTTAACTTAAAAACAGCCAGAGAAAGCAGATTATAAAATGATTACCTAGAACATTAGAGGCAAGTGCCACGAGCAGCCACAAAATAGTGGCGAGAACATCTACTTTCAAGAGGCAGATACCGACAACGAGTAATGTCGGACAAAAGGTTAAAAGATTCACAAATAAGAAAAGGCAAATTGAGTATACAGACAAATGGGGTCAAATGCATGTCTTACATCGAACGATTTGGGTTAAACAATAAAAGCAGAGACCTACTGGATTGACAGAAAGACGACGACCAGCAGTGACCCAGCTTGGCATCTTTTTCATGAGAAGTGCCCTTTAACTCGGTTAAACTCCTTGATTCTGGTGTGGAGGCCACACACTCAGGCGAACATGTGTCTGGACATATAAGGCGGTTTGTTAATAAACGAATGGGAGCAGCCGCCGCTGTCTGATTTCCCAGAATGTAGGACCAATTCACAGTTCGTACATAGCAGAGGTTCGTATTCAGATCAACACGCACTCCACCACGCTGAATGACGCGGAGTGATGGCAGTCCAATTGTCTAGCGTTAACGGAGTGCGAAAAATTCCAGCCCGTCAAGAAAGCAGGCGAATAAGTTTTATACCAGGCTTAAGCCATAAATCAAGAAAAACTATCAAGACAGCATAGTGTGCATTGAAATGGGAGACAAGGACAAAAAATGCATATAGAGGCTTCCAAACAGCATAACATGGCAAGAGGTTAGTAAAAAAGGAACGAACCTTCAAGGAAGTACTGCGAATGACAAGGGCGAAGTTGGATATCAATGATCGTCCACGAATGACAGTTAGGTTGGGGAAAAGAGTAGCCAGCCCATCCAACCCTGTAAGGTCGTAAATCACAAGAAATCCTGTTATTTCCCTGAGATTTGGTATTGAGGCATTCACGGGAAGCTTCGTCATAACAATTAGGAGATTTCCTTCGATAACAGTGCATGACTTGATGCGTGACAGAGCTGAGGGTCGACGGACGTCAAAGTCTCCACACACTTATTGAGACAACCAGTTAGAATTTCAAACATACGTATTTCGTCTTGTTGGAGATATGTACGATTTTCGCCAATGATAAGGCAGTAGGACGGTACAAAAACAGGCAAGCAAACAATAAATAGATACAGGATATAGGATTCTATGCATTTAAAAAGGTAAAAGGACGATTTTGGCATAATGTGCCAGTGTCTAGCACCGAGTGAGCACTACATTCACGGCGCTTCAATTCTTGTAGACCACAGCACTAAATCGGCGGACACTCAAAGTACTTAATAGTTGGTACTACTTTAGGGGAAAATTATGAGGTCTTTGAGATGCACGTGCCAAGAAAAATAAAACACTAGGCTTCTTTTTAGTATGTTGGGGAAAATATGCGCATTTTTATTTCTTTTTTAAAGCAATTCAATTATTTCATACTGAATGGGGGGATGCGTTTTGGTGTTAGGTAAGTACTGCGTGAAAACAATGGCAAATTTAACGTCTCAAGGCTTGGCATTGGTGAGAGATGTTAAATACAATCGCACATTGTGTTCAGGAATAATGGAAAAACGCAAGCCTTTGGCTAGTTAAAATTGCTGCTAGTTTCAAATAGTCATATTAACTAAACATCACAAATATAAGACAACATTAACGTTGTCAGTGCCGGAGTTAGTAAGGTATTATAGCTTCTTTCTGCCTCATAGCCTTCAAGCGGTTAGGCATTTAAATTTCACTGCATTGAGTCGGTGTGTTTCACTATGCCACATTCCTTTATTACAAATTCATGAAAGATCCAAATTGCTTCTAAAACACTAATACCCTAAGAATGGAGGCTTCTTATTTGGCGACGGAGGACTATTATCCCAAAACATTGTCTATGTTCAGGATGAAGTGACAAGGGTAGAGCTTTAACGTGGCTTGAGGGCCAGCTCCATTTGCAGAAGCAAAGTAGTGGTAGCGTCCTGAGACTTCCTAGCCGGTATAAGAAGTCAGTAAGTGCAGTTGGCTACGTGTATTTTAAGAACTACAGGACAAACGAGCCTGGGCATGGCTTGAAGACCAGCCCACCTGTACAAGGACAAAAAAATCCTAAACTGACTACCTAACGTCATGTGGTCACATAAAGAAAGTACTGCAGTGGTCGTTAGAGGGGCCTTCACTTACAAAGGCAGCGGGAGAAACAATATATTATCCTTATAGTCCATGGCATGATCTCACCGCCATAGAAAGGTAGTAATAACCATTCAGTATTCTAGAATTATTAGTGTGATGCCAATTGTTAACTTTATCATAAGTTTTGTTTTGTTAGTCGTCATATGGGATAGTGCTGTGTATACCCATACGCAAATGGCAAGTCGTTTTTCTTCACAGCCTCACCAACCACCACCACCACCACCACCACCACCATCAACAACAACAACAACAACAACAACAACAACAATAACAATAACAGCAACAACCACAGCACCTTGTTTATTTGACTATCTGTGTGACCGTTGGTGATTAAGTACACATCTTGCTCATGTCTGTGATGAGTAACCCAACGTAGTACATATTTGCTGCTTCAATTGTCCCTTGTAGGCGAGAAGATGTAAGTAAATAAGAACACCTAGCTGGATTGCCAAAGCCTTTCCTTTGCATGAAAGTATCCAGCCATACTTGATGTCTTCTTTTTACCAGGTTAAAGTCTCGGGATACTGCAAATATCTAAGGCAAAGCTGATCATAAGTACGTTATGTTTAAATCCTTCTGCAAGTGCTATGTTCTTCAGCATTCAAATGAACATAATACAGAAGATGGAATTCACTGTCGTCTGCATTGTGAGGCATCGTATTGTTCAGTACTACAGAATGTTGTTTATTTGATGGTCAAATACAACAGAAGGACAAAAGCATGACAATACTGAAGATTTGACCTTATATGACGTGTTAGAAACATGAATTTTGAGGTAAAAATATGCAATCGTTGTACGCATGCTTGATAGCCCCATCGCCTAAGTTCCTTTGTGAATTTTCGCTTTGCAACATGGTATCAAAACCTTGGTAGTAACCTCTCTGCGGTATAGTGCAATTCTGAGTTGGCATTCATAAACAGGAGAAAATGCTAAGTTGTGTGATAATAATGGAAAGTTCAAAGTAAGTAAGCCATTGTTCAAAATACATTTTTTGTATAAAACTTTAAGCCTTTATGTAAGTACTTGCACTTGGAAGAAAGATCTTTTAAAAGGTGGTAGACACTGCATTTTATAAAGATCGGCCTTAATTTTCATGACTTTTGTTACTCCTAAAAAACAATGATGCTACCAGCCTTTAAAAATGTTTGCTTAAGGAAATTTTAATTAAAATGAGGTACTTTGTTATCGTTTTATGGTATTTTGAATGTTTAGCTGTTTGTTAATATTCACCGCATCAATGACCTAACTTGCTGTCTCGGCGTCTAGCGCTTGCCGTGAAATAACTGCTTCTGGGTTGCCTTTCTCCTTTTCCAAGCTACTATCAAATTGCAACTTCAACCATGCTGCAAGACCAAATTATGGATAATGCGGCTTACACGTCAAACTTTGGTAGCTCCAACCAACCTTATCCCTACATGCCTGCCGCCCCATCGCGTCATTCCGATCGACCAAGACCATCAAGTGCTCGTGATCCAGTGTATGCTGATCTACTAGAAGGATCGTTATATAACCAAAGAGGAACACCACAGATTAAACCGCAACAGTTTATCAACTCTCCTTATGATGGGCGTGCTGCATCGGTTGACCGAGGGCCAAATTACCAAGGGGGAAGCCGAAGCTATTATTCCAATTCGGTCCAACGCTACAATCGAAATGTTTATCCCCCTGGGTACCCATACGGTCAGAATCCCTCCTACCAGCCATCGGTTTCACTTTTTTCGGCAGCTCAAACAAGTGGACATCGTCGAGCACAATCGTATGACATGAACCTGGAAAGACAGGGTCTCTACGAATACAACAGCGCTTTGACATCCTCTGGCATTGGGACTAACCATGGTCCATACAGCATGTATGGGAATACAGGAAGTGGAAGAGTCGATGGGTTAGGAGCGGGTGTTTCGTTATTAACCCCAGTTGCTGGTTTTAATAACCCAGGTGGAGGAGTAGCCAACTATGGCGGATATGGCGGTATTGGCAACAGTTCAGGAGTAGCGACATTGTCAAACAGCGTAGATGTAGTAAATATCCAACGTGAATGTGTGAGACTTCATCAGGAACTCGATGTAACCAGAGAAAAGTTAAATGCATGCATGACAAGCATCCGTACATTCTGGAGTCCAGAGCTTAAAAGGGAGCGAGCTATGAGAAAAGAGGAGAATGCAAAGTATGCTATCCTTGCCGATCATCTCCACCAACTACAGTTGGAAAAGCAGGTTGTTATACGGTATAAAAGTATTAGAATGCTTTTTAATGCATCAATTATTTATGCTAAATTTTCGCAATAAGCCTTTGTCATGCTAGTAGGATTTCATAAATCTGATATAGACTATTCAAAATCATTTTAGACAATGCTGCAGGCCTTGCACAATTCTGATGCCGAGTTGCGAAGAGAGCGTGAGAAGAATGCCTCACGTTTCAAAGTGGGACCAGATGGTAACGAAGTCAACGAGTACGAAGTGATGAGACGGCGCATAGACGAGTTGACTTGCGAGAATTGCCTATTAAGTAAATCAATTGAGGAAGCGGAGAAGCGAGCCTCAAGTCTGCAGGCCAGCCTGATGACCACCGAGGAGAGCTTGCGTAGGCTGGTAGAAGCTGTCAAGTCGGGAAAGGCCGTTGCCGCTCAACAACAGTCAGGGCAACAACAGCAACAACAACAACAAATTGGGGGCGGTGGCAAAATGGAGCAGGCATCAACTCCGGTCGGGGACTCTAGTCTAGCCGGTATTCGTATCGACCGCCTTGAATCTGATAGAAATGAGATTGAAAGGCTTCGGGAGCAGCTAAATGAGGCCTTTCATAGAGAAAGTGAAGCCGAAAAAGCTCTTGTCGAGTGCGAGATGGCGAGAAATCAGCTTAAGGACGTAAGCCGCTCCTTCTTATTCAGAATCTAGATCACCGCCGCAGAGTCTCATCAGAGAGGATTTAATGGTTTCTATATTTCTTAAATAGCTTTGTGGTGAACACGTTCATTGAATAAGTAACAAGTTGGGGGGTAAAAATGAATTGCCCTTTCCCATGTCTGGAACAAATTTTCCCGAAATAGGAGTATAACAGTTTTTTTGCAAACGAACTTTATAAAATAATTATTGGTTTTTGTAGGAAAACTACGCTCTTATTTATTTTGCCTTCTTTTACTTGAATGTTATTTAAAAAATGGGAGTCGCTGATGACCAGGAGGACTTAAAATTTCTTACTCAGTCTAGTATCCCCCAGCGATAATGATGTCGTTTTATCATTCAAATGAAGAAACATTGATAAATAGGCAGTCATTCTTTGCATCTCCACGTGATGACCCGTCGCATTCAGACAGGTGCTTAGCCCTCTTTCAACACCTTCCTCACCTGGAGTAACTCATCCCACATTTTAAAGATGCACATCTTCAGACCATGGCTGTGAAAGTTATAATAAATAGGTCTGTCGTATGTGAATAAACTCCTTGAAAGTTCTGACAAAACCAGAAAATTGCTCCATTTGGACAAATTTGTGCATAGTCTGAAGGTACTCCCTTCAGTCTAAGCAGTAGTATTTCTTCTCCCCTTTGGAAAGCGATTTTGTCATCGACTCCGGAAAGAGATGAACCGATTTTTACTGCACCTTTCAAAAAATGAAAGAAAGCAACTAAATTGCACGACACCCTCCCGGCCATTTGCCGGTCTTCTGATTGGCCAATACGTCTGAGCAGTAATCAGGCGGTATCGATTTTGTACGCGCACGTGTGTGCGTCCGTGCATGCTCACTTACGGGTGCGTTCACTGATGTGTCTGACGTCCCGGGGAAGGATTGTTGCCCACGCCTGTGCATCTGCACCCTCCTAGGCGCTAACATTTTGATGGTAGAATTGTCACACAGCGCCGCCCATTAAATGACAGATTTTATGAGCAATTATGCGAAGATAGTCTAGCCAATGGTTTATTAAACAAGATTTTCGCAGTGTTAATAACCTACTAATGACCATAAAGTAAGCGTGTATTGCGTAAGGTTTTGTAACTTGGGTTGGTGAGGTGAAATTAAGTCCCATAAGTAATTAAAAGTCACAATAACCAAATTTCCGGCTTATTCAGACCGTCATCGATCAAATATTTAACTGGGGGTATTTGAAAACTCGAATGTAAAATCTAAGTTCAACCTGCGTAAATTTAAACTTTGTACAATGAATGAGGTGTTGGTAATGGCAATTTTTGTTCGCGATAAGTGGCACCTGCCCTGTATAGAACATGCATCATTACCTACCGGTGCTGTTATGAATTACATCTTTTCCTCACAATCATGCAGTCCCAAAGGTGAATTGTTTTACACTACAAACAGGTTGGTTGTAGTTGTCATTAATGTTAAAAAGCCAAGTCAAATGTTTAATGGTATTTTTGCCAAATATGAAACTTTGTAGGAACTAGACGGTGTATCACAAGAACTGGACACAGTGAAGCACGAAAATGAGGGTCTCCGTCTAAATATCCGTGAAGTTCAGACCCTTCAAGCAATTGTGGATACGAAGGTAACAATATCCCAAACACTTGTCTTGCTGTTTTGGTGCACAACTTCATGATGTAGGTGGAATACCACGTAATGCATCTACATGAAGCCTATCGAGCCAGGAGTTCCACATATTAAAAAAATTGTAGTTTCACCCATTGCTTAACCACGGAGCTGAGGTCTTGGACACCATCCTTCGAAGCACTAAAGTTTACTTGGAATGGGAAGCATCGTTTACTTGACTTTTTTATCTCTGTCAATACGATAATTGCTTTTTAGGAGTCTAAAATATTGACGTTGGAGAATGAAATCCGCCTCTTGGAAGATGAAATCGCCCGACTCCGAGACGAGGGGATTGCTACGCCAACAACATCATTAAGCAGTGGTATTGAAGATGTGGATCGAACCTTGAACACGTTCCGAAGTAACGAGCGTCTCCTTAAGTCAAAGGTAGGAATCCGGTTCCACGTGGAGACAATGTAAAAGAGTGTTGATCTTCCTACAACTCTCCTTTCTCATTTAAGGTTGAATTCCTTACAAGTGAACTCTCAAAGCGTGATAACGAAATCTATGCCTTACAATCACGTTTGGAAATGGCGGAAAAGCAACAGCAAGATCAGAACCACCACATCAATGTGCTGAAAGAGCAAGTCAAGGCCCGAGAGAACAAGGTGTCTATGCTCACTGCTGATGTAAGATCGATCTGAGGAGTGGCTAAGGTCTACTTGTAAAACTAAAAGTCGTCTCTCTAAAGACATTGAATGCCCATTGGTGAACCATTTTTAACTTTACGATTTTCGATTTTTAGAAAAAATGCTAAAATACTTTAAAGTGATTTTAAAATCAGAGTGAGAAGACATCTCTTTGATGTGAGGTGGAAATGTGATTTCTCTCGTAATGTTAGATGCTTTTACGCATTGTTCTGAGGATGAGTAACCTGGAGGTAAAGGGCTGATTGCTTGAGGGATTTTTGAATAGCGGTTCTCATTATGTTAGCTTATGTGGTGTTTCTGTTTTGACACGCGTTCTATTAAGTTGAATGGAAAGTGGCTTTTTGTGAACAGCATCTATGGCAGGCCTAAGCTGGTCACTTTACAGGCACTGTTGTATGCACCGATGTGAATGGGAATCTCTTTCATTCCTTCTGGCAATAAATCAACGTTCCAGTTTCCACTGGAACCCTAAGTTGCTTGGAGCAACATTTTCTTCGTTCAATTCACAAAGTGTTACTTGCTCACTTATGGTAAGAAGTTGTTTATACGACCAGTTCACGGCTCTAGCTAGACCATGTATCTTTTGTCTCAAGTAGAGCTGTCTATTATCCTCTAGCTTCACTAGCGTAACTTCAAAGTTCCACTTCCTGTTGACTGATGCATTCCGCAGTGTTGAACCAAAAGCCACTTGCTAAACACGCGCTCTCATCATTGCGTTTGCGTGTTCGCAAGTGGAGGACTTAACGCCATTGTTTTAAGGAGATGTTTTGCCAGTGTTATTTACATTGCGAACTTTACGAGTTCCCTTTTTTTTCATATTTTCACCCTCCGAACTTCCGCATCTAAAAGTTTTATCAGATCTGCTTTGCGTGTAGTCGGTTCCACCACAGGCAATGCTGCGTCAATGATATCACAGAACGGTGTCAGCATATCCCGTGGATGGGGAAATAATTAATGCCTACAGCCGCTTTTTGAAGCATCTTTACCGGAGAAATCGAGTCATCAAGTTTTATGCATCCCATTGCGCCCAGATTGAGGACTTCCGAAAACGCCTGAAAGAGAAGGAGGGGCTGTTGGAAAAGAAGACGAAATTGGTGGCAAACAACGCCACGGGAAAACGGCAACTGGAAACGGAATTAGCGGAGTTGAAGGATCAAGTCGATTTAAAGGAGAGAAAAATTTCACTACTTCAACGCAAGGTTTGCTTCATTTGCTATAAATAAAAACTGATGGCACTTTTCAGTGAGACAGTTTAGTTGAGAATGAAATAAAAATAGGAATTTACAACAAACCTTTATCGAATTTCAAAATTTTTCATTCCAACTTAAGAAAATCAAAACGTTATAATTCAGCCTTCCTTTTGTGTTTGCATAGGTTGAAAATTTGGAAGAAATGGTGACGGAAAAAGAAACTCAACTAGCTAGTGTAAAATCGAGGCTCTCGCGTCTAAGCAGCGAGAAAACCGGTACAGAAGGTCCGAAGGCCAATTTAGAAGACACTTTGAAGGAGAAGGATAGGCAAATTGAAAGGTTTGTCCCCTTCAGCTTATATTTAGCTCTAATTTTCGTTTCTTGAAAATTAAACTTACTCCCTTTGACCACTCAGTAGTAAACAGTGATTTGAAAGTAAAGGTCGGCATATTGATGGAAACAATTTTTACCATATCCACTGGACATGTCACTGACATGGATAGTTGCTGCATCATTGGGTGACCGATTTTCTAGCTCTTCTCAATCACAAAGAATGGTGAGATAAATAATCATCATATAAAAGATGCAACTTCCCCAATTCTACTTGCATTTATTGAAGGCGATTGCATTTTTTCAATCTTCTGGCACTAAGTGTCATGTATGGTTAAAGTGACAAAGTATGTATCGAGGTCGTGATGAGGTAGACTTTCCTAGCAAGTTAACAACTCATTGACAGAATTGGCGAAAGTGAATTTTACACTTTGAGAGCATTGAAAATGTCGCTTCCCCCTCCTCACCCTTCTCACCCCCTCCCCAAGTCTGATTAATGTATTTGCAAAATGTGCCGGGAAAAGGTTAAGTAGAACGTTTGGGCACGGCATCAAGAACTTTATGTTCGGTGATGAGAATGTATGATTTGTTTTTGGGATTAAGGAACGTTTAATTAAAGCTAAAACATGTGCATACTCTCAAATGCCATTTTTACTGGGGTAGCATAGGAGTTAGTCGAAAATCTGCCCTCTCTTCCAAGCCACTCACAAATGTGCAGCTTAGATTTTGTCTGTAGTAAAAACATACGATGTTTTCCGTACAAATAAACCACGACATTGACCTAATAAGTACACCGGTACTTTAGTACTGTGAGTCCTCTCCAAAGCCAAAAAAACTGTTTGTGGGACGTACGTATCAGTCGCCTAATGGCAGGACCTCGAGAGTGTGCTCCTCGTCAAAAGTACAAAGGCCAAATGTGATATCCATTATGGCGAAATGAAATGTTAATAGTGTAATTATTGGGCTACAGCTCACCGCCAGCCAGGAATCAGCAATTCACGCAACTAAATCAAACATGCATACAACTTGTGTCGAGGCAGGAAGTAGGTTTGTTCCTGTTACGTTTGGCCCACTCCTGATGCACAAAGTGAGGCGATGCTCTTGTTGATAGAATGCCTTCAAAAACTCCTCACATCGCTTTTGATCGGTTAACTGAGTCAGTGAAGGTATTTTAATGGTGCGTACAGCTGCATTCAAAGCCTTCATAATTATTCAATTTTCATAAGCTCTGACTCGGTAGCTTTGAATGTTTTTTTTTCTCACAGTCAAAGTGATTTATCATATGCTTAGTATTATACATGAAGAACGACTTTCCACTACCGAAATTACAGCCTCATTTGTAGAAAGATGCGCTCTCGTGACCACCCGCCAGGACAGCGTTAAAATGCCTTCTTTGGCGGCTCATTAAGCGTCTCAGTAGCAGCAGACGACGTCACAAATTAAAGCCTAAAGGCAAGGCGGTTTTTTGCATCACTAATTCTTGTGGTAAAATCTGCCTTAATTTCAACTTTTAGGACGACGACTTCGATTTGAATTTAAGTGAATGCATTAAAAATGAAGGTGAATAAAATTTTTGTACAATGAAAAATTTGCTGTCAGTCAGTGTGAAAGCGGTTTTAATTCACCCCTTTTCACCCCTCCAAAGCAGAGAACTCCTTTTTTTTATTTTTTGGTCGAAAGCTTTGCCCACCAAACAGTTCACTTCTGTAAAGCATTATTTGCTCCAGATGGATGGAAAAGAGAAATTCTCATGGAAGTTAACCTCTTGCCATTATAAAACATTGCTGCATTTGGGCACAAAAAAGTTTGGATGAAACTCATTTAGGCACACATACTTTAAAAATGGGCTGAGGTGCCGACTTGTCTGTTGCAACAAAAAACTAGCTGGTAATTTGCACCTAGGGGAATTTCTCTTTCGACAGCTAGTCAACCAGGCATCTTCTTCTTGGTTGTGTCAAATCCGAGGTGTTCATTCAATCATCTTGTTCCACTTCGATTGCCAACTATTTCATGTTTCATTTATTTCTGGAAATTATTAACGATGCATTTGAAGGGCGGGTTTCGCTGTGCCGGGAGAATCCGTGCCCACTTAACAGCATTGACCAAATGAACTTGTGAAAATTACCAAACCACTGAATCCCTGATGCCTAAATTTGCACAAGATAATCGCATTGGTAGTCATCTGAGACTTTCTCAAAGCCGAAGGAGAGCATAAAAGAAGGCCAGTATATGTATTATTAAGAGAAAAAATAGCTGGAATGTCTGGCGCAAGCTGGGAGCATGTTTTTCATCATGAGTACAAATGCAAAGGTAAACAAATTACTGAGGCATTGCATTGCTTCCTTCCACCCTCTAGCGCCAGTTAATGGGCAATAAACATGTCCACAAACTCCCAAACACTGATCCGTCAGAAAATGTGAGGAATGCATGAGCCACCACGGCATGGAAAACCAGTCATTCAAAGGAGACGTTTCTTGCTTTATCTCTGTCCAACTACATATCTGTCTGGACTTTGTCCTACTAGCAGAGATGGGAAGAAGCATCGCATATTCCATTAGCTCACCTCTTTATGCACGTAGCGTAACGAATGTTGTCACCACTTCCTTTGTTTGTGGTTCCCCTTATAAAACGCGACGGGAGAGGGTAGGTGTCATCTTCACCTTTTTCCATTACAGAAAGGATTAGCATACAGAAGTGTGATTCGAGGTATTTATCCTATATGTTTGAATGCTTTTCTCCATCTCACTAATGCTTTGCTTCGAGCCCTTCATAAAGACAAAAAAAAGCAAAGAGCGACAGGATATGCATTGCCAACGCAGAGAAGCACTGACGGCTGTTAGCGTGACCCAGCGCTTTACTGCTTAATGGAAGGGTGATGAGCCTCAAATACCTACAGAACGAAAAAGAGGAGAAGATAAAAACTAGGCAAAGTGGTATAAAAGTATCCTTGGTGAATCAACAAGGTGGAAACAAGAGGCAGAACAACTCCAACGTATTAAGTCAGTGGACGTGCGAAGAAACGATTTGGGCTTTTATGTTTTACCAAGAATAAGTTCCTCATCCAGTAAATGACACACTTTTACTACATTTTAATCAAATACATTTAAGAAAATTATGATAATTTGGAAATCGTTTAAGGCTACATACCCATTGGTTTTTCTTTTCCTAATAATCGTTTCGTTATTCAGCGCTTCCACACTTACCTCAGGCATTGCTGCTAAGTTGTTCCTTTAAAGTATCATAAATCGTTTAGCTTGTGGATAAACATATACACACTTGGGAATCTTGTGCTCGCTAAAACCACATTTCAATTCATTTGAGTTGCTTTGTGCTTTATGCATTCGTTCGCCCTGGGTTGACAGTAACATGTTTGGGTAAGTTGAGGGTTTTTCCTAGCAATTGATACATCTTCCTAATCTCAGCACCTCTTAGACATTGAAATCATCCTAGTCAATTAACTCACCACTGCTCTTTCTTGTGTACTAAAATATGCGATTGTGTTAGCGGTGTCACTGGTACTTGGTGCAGTAGGACTTGCCGCCCACAAGGCTTTGCCAGACGCAATAATTCATTATAGTGTGTAACAATTCAGTACAAAGCTTACTTGTAACTCTTGATAAATGTGGTATTTGTGGGCAGATTGAAGGAAGCACGAGAACGCAATGAAGCAGAGTGGGCGGAGGAGGCGGAGGGCCAACGGCGCGTACAATCAGAGCTGCGAGGCCGGTTGGATACTGCATTGAGAGACTTAGACGAAAAGAGTGCCCAACTTAGTGAGGCACGTGAAGAGGTGGCACAGCTGCGCAGTTCCCGCTACAAGCGAGATACCGAAGTGGGTCAGTTACAGGCCCAGCTGCGTCAACGTGATGCAGAGATGTCTGCCCTCCAGCTGGAGAAACAGATGGTGCGTCTTCTTCCTTTACTGTCCACACCATATGCCACCAGGCGCATTTTAAGCTCATTTGACACTGTTAAAACCCACGCAATGAAAGAACGGATATTTTGGGTTGTGCCGGAATTCCTCGCATGCCATAGCCATTTGGCTGCTACTGATGGTATTTCCTTCAGAAGTGGCTGTCTAGACAGTAGGAACTCAAATGTTGTGACTGCCATATTTTAATACGAAGCTTAACCCTATTTGAACTTTGGAAAGTGACAGGTCTATTAACAACAGTAGCAATTCCGACCATTTATTGTTTGCTGTGCATCGCTTTTAGTCAAACTATGTTCTTAACCTTCCTAAGAGCTAAAACATTTGGATGGCTTCAAAGCATTTGATCATTTGCTCTTTATCCAAAACCACCCTGGCAAGTCCATTCTGGGCACCAAGAAATGATAGCTTCAAACTTCACCATGCTTTCGTAAATGCCAAGAAAATAGTTTCCATCCTTTTTGTTCTTCGAACCACAATTTCAATTTTCTGTTGTCTCTAATGTTATAAGGAGGAGTTGCTATCCCACCGTTCTCCGAATCTTTGTCACTACTTCTTTTGTTCACTCAGTAAAATATTTTATACACCTATTAGTCTGAACCCGAATCTATTAGAACATAAATTAAAGTTAAATATGATGATTCTTGAAGGAGTCTTTTTTTTCTACTTTTCGCTTTTCTTCATAATTCGTTGTGGGGAGGTTGACTTCGGAACTATTATTTCCTATTAACCCCAAGGGGACAATGCAAAAGGAGTGCACTGTTGAAACAAGCAGCCCTTAGCGTAACTTTTTTTAATGTGTCGATGCTTCGCTTGAAATGGGATTAATAATGCATTACCAAATGCGATTCTTGCTTTCGTGTTTCTCAAATTAGCTTCACTCGTCAAAACTTTCTGAGACATTCGCCTTTTAACCCCAAAACTCATGTTTTTTGATAAAATCTGCGTCGACTTTTCCTGAAGCCCTTTTAAACCTTGCAGAATCGGCGAACTTCATGCACGTATTTTATGCTACTTTTATAGAGTTTTTGAAAACCGTATGAGATTTTGGTCCGCGATGAAGGTTTTCCTCTGATAGCCGAGACTAATTTAAACAAATATTTAGTTTCTTTGGGGAATTCATTTAGCAATGTGCTTTGTCATGATCAGGGACCAGCTGTAGATGCAAAAAATGCGTGGCAAATGACAATCTAATTAAAATTTTCAATTTTTTGGTCTCCTTTTGCAAGGGAAGGAACATGAAAATCCCATTCAAAACGGGGAGTTTGTAGCATCGCAGAACAACATTGAGTCCCTAAAATGAATGAGATTTGGAATAAATTTTACCGGTTACAATAGGCATGGCTAATTACGGAAGCCTCACCTTGGTCATTCCAATCAGGCGCCTAATCAACCCAAATGATTACAAAACGTGAGTCTCACTGGGGGCAAATGAGCGCCATAGCATTTGTACTCGGTTTTGCAAAAATCCAAAAACGTCACGCAACTGCTCCCAATTAAATTGCATTTAACTTTAATTTGGCGCTAATTTGGAGTGTTTATTTTCCACTACGCAATACCCAGAACCTGAAAGTAACAAACAGTGATGCTTTGTGAAGTGTTGATGCGGGGAAAATGCACGACAGAGGCGATTCACAATTTCGGTACACCAATGAGGAAATATTAACTTTTAGGTATCAACGGTAGAATTGCTTAAAGGGAGGGTTTATGATTATGCACTGCATTAGCGGGAAATAACTGTAACGCCGTGGTGCCTGAAATTACTTTGCACGAAAAGTAGTGCGTTGCCTTCATCTCCTCCGCAGTCTTAGCGACTGGATTAAAGTTGGGACAGGAAGTGGGTAAATTTTGCGAAAGCTACGATGCGTGTTTCTAAGTAGGGCTACAACTTACAACTTTGTTACTCTTGGTAGGAAGTGAAATTGGTGCGTTCCTGTGAGCTGGGGAGACTCGGTGCAATAATTTGATGGTGTGTCCAACACATCTGCCGCCTCAAAATTAGTGGCATTGTGAAAATGAAATGGGCTGTGTATAAGGTGGTTTTGTTAGCCTCCTTTTTCGACATTCTTCGCGCATTTTGAAAGCGCAAGTGTGGTTTAAGTGTTTTTTAACACAAAAGCTATAAATGATAAGAGATGGATAAAAGGTGACGTCAATTAAAGGTCTGTTGGTCATAATTTTATGGGACAAAAGTTCATCATCAGATGAGAAGAGGATCACATGCAATCCAGTTTTGGCGTTAGCACTCAAGACGAAGTGATCACTGAGTTGTATGGTCAAAAGATGTGCTATCCAAAAGGCCAAGGTGCCTTGATGGAAAATAAACCAGGAAATTTGATTTCCTGTATGTAAAATTTCCAAAGTAGTCACGACCACTAATGATTAATTTAAATCGGGTCGGATAATCAGAACTTTGCAAACTCCCCACATGGTGGTTGCTTTTTAAAGGACGTTTTATGATTAGAAGAGGAATCAAATGACTCGAGCTCAAAAGGGAGAAGAACATTCGAATTATTTCATTTAAAAGTGAGAAATAAAAAATACCAACAAATCTGTTTGAGCTAAAGCAACCGCCGTGCAAAAGCTCTATTCTTAGCCTTTTTTGCCTTATGTTTACCTACATAAAGGTTATGTCCGTCCCTTTCATGTGGTCCTCGTGCTCATGAGTTAGGGCCCTCCCCAACTAATCCTTTCATGTTAAAAGGGAGAGATTATTTACCTTCCATGTGTTCTTTTAGCAAGGTTTAAAAGGCAAGACTTCGTTTCTCCTTTGTATTGAGAACGTGGGCTGTGTTGTTTCCTCTCCTTCAGTCCTATTCATGATAACGCTGCGTTGAAGTGCGAAAGTTTAAAACGTTCTTTATAATACACCTTAAATTATACAACTGGAAGGAGAAGTGAGTTGAATCGACTGACATTACGATTTCCATGAAAATACCACAAATGCATCCTCTCAAGTGCCATTGCAAATGGGCTCCAAAACATGAAATTAAACTGAACGTCTTTATTCGCACATGACACGATTTGTGCAAATGTTTGGACAACTCAGTGATTTGGTGATGGTGAAGCTGAAGTGGTCTTCAGTGGCGCTGCTTCCTCGCTACGCTTAGGGAATAATTAACTGTTTCTCATTATTTCTATGAGTGGAGTACGAAACCGCACAAAAATGCTCCACTCTTGCTAGTGTTGAGTTGCTCTTTTAATTTCCTAAAAGCATCTTTCATTATTGCAAATGCTGTTGCCTACATTGCAGTGCGGAAATGGTAAACAAAAAGGAGTCATTAAAAGTTGTGGAGACAATGTTTCAAGTGTCTCAAAATTTATATGTCTCTGTTAATGCCCTTATTTTTCAGTTTGCAGTAGCCTAGGCTACATTTTTAAGAAACAATAAGAATTGTTTGAGCTCGAAATTGTCCTGTAGAAGTATGCCAAGGTTTAAGAAGCACATGCACAAAAAGCATCTAGGGTACTGGTTAAATGGATCACAAATGTGTAATACTTGCTCCTAAAATAAAAGTAGTGAATTGACGAATAATGTTTGAACATACACTTTCACTTGATGCATTGCTACAGACGCCTACGTCGATGTCAAGCTAATCCTCAAAATGCGTGTTTACTTCTCTACCTAATGTATCCAGTTTTTAGAATTAACAATAATGAGCTTAGAAACAACAAGAAAACTAAAACGAAATGCCCGAGAGAATTGCTTACTTGAAGTTGAAATGTGTGACATTTTGTGCTTAACTTATGCCTTTGATCTGTTGGTTTGGGTTTTGATATTAAAAGCTGCATAAACAAGTGACAAACGAGACGGAAATGAAGTATTCCAAGACAGTTGCTGAATTGGAGTCCCAGGTAAATCACTACATGGAATCAGCTTCGAAGTTGCAGAGCGAGGTCGATCGACTTCTCAACATGATTCGCACCTCCGATTCTGACAAACTTGACAAGGACAATCAGATTCACGAGCTTGAGGAGTAAATACTATTTTCGTCCTTATTTTTAAGCATCTTTAAACCAAATCTTTCAAAAGTCTTAATCTTTAAGCCTTAACCTAGCTTCATCGTTGATGCAGTACAAAAAATACTTGCCTCATTTTATGATTTCCAGTTATCCTCTGATTAATAAGGCCACGGTTGAGACCTAAGGGAGAATAACAACCTACAATTTGTTTAAGTTTTATTCCGAATTGGAATTTTGGCTTAGAACTTTTGTAATTTTTATATTTAAACTTATTTATATTGTTGGGCATGTAAACAAGATATTTAAATGTGCATAATGTTCCATACTTAGACAACTGCATGAGGCCCAAAATCAGATTGGAAGCCTCAAAAGGTCTCAACAGGCGGATCGGAAGAAGAACACACAAATGCTGGATGAAGCTCGTCAGAGAGCTGATGCAATTCAAAGCGATGCCGAAATGCTTAAGGTAGGCTGGTCATTTCGTTCATCAAGGAGAGTACCGCAAAACAAAGCTGTAGTTATGTTTCATGGGCCTTGAATATTTGATCATAGGCAATCGGTTGAAAGCATGTGGCATGAAATAAAGACAGTCATGCTGCGTAAACTTGGATGGTTTTGAAATGTGGCTGCATCACTTCAAGTCCTGTTTGAAGGTGGAAGAAGATAATGTGTGCGTTGACTGTGTACATTGGAATTGCGGAAATGTTTGAAGCTGCGGGCCTGTTCAGGCGACTAGCACATTGGCCAGGACGCGGGGCTGTACCTTCCCAAAGCTGGAGGCTAAGCAACCACCCAGTTTATTGAAGCTGTCAATTGAAAGCTACTCATATGTTAATATTGTGGACTAAAGGTTCAATTTTACCGTATTCGCGAAATTCGATGTTCAATGCAGAATTTGCATGGATTGTTTCCAAAACCAGAATCTGAGTTCATCAAAAGCCTATGACACAACACTTCTCTTCCTCCAGGGCTGATAAAGTGTTTGTGATTCCACGTATTCCTTTTTACGTTCCTCTTTTTGGTTTGGTGGCACTCTGAGAGACAAACTGTAAATTTTAAACACAGTTTTTACGAAAAGTTCATGCAATTCATCAGGGACTAATAGAGCAATAATTTATCTTGTCTTCAGTGCGCCAATTTTGTCTGAATTCAAAGTAGCCTTCAAACTTCAATGTTAGGCTGGGAACATTTTACTGTAAGTTTAAATCAAGTCGTAGTACCTTCATCAACTTTTGTTACCAAAGGCCAGTCATTTTATTCACTTGGGTTAGCTCCATGTCAACTAAATATTTTTTTATAGCGGCACGGAGATTAATATCGGCTTCATGATCTCAC